ATGTACTTGCTTCACCTCTGCGGAATATCATAAACCTCTCTTTTGAGAAGGGTCAATTCCCATCATCTTGGAAATGTGCGAAAGTGACTGCTCTTTTCAAAGAAGGTGATAAGTCTGATAAAGATAACTATCGTCCCATTTCTGTCCTGCCCACGGTCAGTAAAGTAATTGAGAGAGCTGTTCATTCTCAACTTTACGGCTATCTTGACTCCAACAATCTGCTTGCTGTGAACCAGTTTGGCTTTAGACGTGCAAGATCTACCGCTTTAGCTCTAACGCAGTTTACCGATGAAGTGCTAAGTAATATGGATAAAGGTTTAGTAAATGGTGTAGTTTTTATTGATCTGAAGAAGGCCTTCGACACCGTTGACCATGTCATTTTACTCGGGAAGCTCAAATCTCTAGGATTACGCAGCAAGAATCTGGAGTGGTTCCATTCCTACCTATCCTCTCGTTACCAGAAGACTGTGATTGGTCAAGCCTCTTCTCCTGCGCGGAAGGTTTCCGTTGGTGTTCCTCAGGGATCTATTCTCGGTCCATTGCTATTTGCCATTTACATCAACGAACTACCCAAGGTCCTTCGGAACACTACGGTCACCTTGTTCGCTGATGACACTGCTATCTACTGCTCTTCTCAATCAGCCCGTGACCTACAGACCATGTTGAATCAGGATCTAGACAGGCTAGCTCAGTGGCTCTACGAGCATAAACTTACACTAAATATCTCGAAGTCTAAATTCATGCTCATTGGCGGTCCAAGGAAACTTAACACCTTAGAAGAATTCACATTAATAATCAAGGAGAAGGAGTTAGACAGAGTCAATTCGTTCAAGTATCTGGGCGTAATTATCAATGAGAATCTGTCTTGGACTGATCATGTGGATTACATTAAGACCAAAGTGTCTCAGAGGCTTGGCGTTTTACAGAGAATAAAACATCTTCTGCCAAGAAATACAAGGGAACTCTTTGTAAAAGCCATGGTGCTGCCAATCCTTGATTATGCAGATGTGACTTGGGGGGATAAATCCAACACCACCCTGATGAACAAGATCCAATTACTCCAGAATAAAGCAGCTAAATTAATTTTAGATATGCCAAAGCATTCATCAGCAACAGAAGCTCTTGATCTACTTGGTTGGGATACATTGGAAAAAAGGCGAAGATCACATTGTCTATTTTTGGTTTTTAAGTCCTTGAATGGACTAATTGATTGGAATTTTAATTTTAATCATTTTAAAGATATACATGATTATAACACTCGTTTTAATAACAACATTTGTAAACCACAATCAAAGCGTACATGGGGTCAGCATCGGTTTGTTTGTCATGCAGTAGATGACTGGAACGCTCTCCCAGACGGCATTAGGAACATTTCCGATTTTTCAGTTTTTAGACGTCTTGTTAAGAACATGTAGTCTCTTCTATTGATTATACCCTTTTATCCTATTCTTGATAACCATATTTATATTTTCTGTTATCCTTACGTTAGATTTATGCAGGGCCTCACTGAAAACAACACTTTGTGACGTGGGCTCCCTGTCAAAAGATCTTATTATTATTACTATTCTGATGGCACGATTGAGAGGTTTTAGTATTCTCAGGGGAGAGTTTTGAGTATTTAATGTTTTAGTGGAGAATATTAATCATTCTAGCTCAGTCAGTCTTTCTGTTTGCTGTTGTCAATTTAGTTAAATTTTTTTTTTTTTTCCTATGGAGTTATGGGTTTGTTTATACCTCTTCCCCGAGGTTCCGTGCCCCTGCATTAGATGGGGAATACGTTTCCACATATTTTTTGACCACATCTAAAGAGTGCTTTTTTAGTGGTTTTTCGTATCTGGCGTGGTACACTTAATTTTTCAAGCTTTTCAAGTTAGACTTGCTAGCATATTCTATGTTGTAATAAGTATATGTTACGACACATTGTTGTTGTCGGATGACTGACTGACCATAAAAAGAAATGACTTTCATAAAGACTTGAAAGCCAACAAGCCCTAAGTGAAAGTGCTCCACTGTGGCACATCTGTCTTCTGTTGGAAAGGGAACATTGTCCCATCCGTATGGAATGACAAGAAAGCTGTGGCTTTTATAAGTACCCAATGCGATGCTAAAGGAAACCAAACCATGCACAGAAAGCAGAAGGATGGAACATACATTGAGGTTTCTTCACTTCCAGTGGTAAAGCTTTACAACCAATACATGGTGAAAGTCAAGCAGTGATCAAATGTGGCAGTATTATGATGCATCTCAAAGGGCAAATAGATGGTGGCAGTAACTGTTATGGTTTTGTTTAGATGTTAGCATTATGAATGCACATATTTTGACACAAATTGCAGATAACCATCCAAACTTCACACAGCTTCAGTTTCACTTCCAAATGGAGATGATGCTAATTAGCAACCTCTCATCACGGCAACATGCCCTTCAAGAAGGAACCATTCAAACCAGACATTGGCCTGTAAAAATAAGTAAGGGAAGATGTAAGAGATGTTTGAAGGGAAAAAGACAAAGTTCAGTCTGATGGGATGTAATTCATGTGGCAAGAGGTTCTGCTTGGATTGTTTCAAGAATCACAACACTGAAGCCTGACGTGGCACAAAATTCAAATGCCTCGAACAATGAACACTCTTTTGCTTCAGTTAAAAAAAAAACACTTTAGAAGACATACAGTGTTCTTTTCAAATTGATCATTTTCACTGTAAATATTTCTGTGAAACATTTTTGTTTGATCTACCTTATATCAAGAAATTGCTTAGTAAATCAGCATATATGCTTTTGTTCATTGAATCAAAATGGTGCGAAGAACAGTTTTGTGTGATTTTTGAGGTTTGTTTTGTCTACTCATTTTCTCATATTAGAGATGTTACTTATCTTAAATGAAAACTTCAATCTCTAAAGAATTAAGTTTCTCTCCATTGCTCAGTCTAAAATTTCCTGGTTCACTCACTATTTTGCTATAGTTCTATGGCACCCCAAATTTGCCTTTCAAAAGGCATCATGATACCCAAACCCCACAGGCAATTAGGGTATTTACCTAGATAGGCACTCTTGGGAGTAAGAGGGCCAACTTATTTAATGATATTATTGGCTTCAGATTGTCTACAAAATCAGACAACTTAGGGCAATTTTGAGGCAGGAAAACAAAAGTTATTTGACTTTGAATCAAACTGAAACACTTCCTCATGTTTTGGTTGTGTTCACAAAGCATGATGAAGTAACAAGCATCCATGACACTATAAAATCTTTGAAAATGGCCCCATAACTTTCCAAAATAACCTCAACATTTCACCTCCCTACTGCTTCACTGTACAAGAAGGTACTCATATTTCAATTATAGGAGTGGTATTTGTTCCCGCAACTGAAAAATGTTTTGATGATGGACAAGAGACATTTGAAATATTACCCTTGTTTATGCAAGACCTTGTCCTAGACTATCAGGTTTCATTTTTGCCAAAGGACAAAGTGAGAAGTGTGTTTACTGAAAGTGAGAAAGATTTATAAGCTTTATGTTTATGTCTTATACCAAAATGTAATTTTCTGTTATCATAGCTTCAGATTACTGAGATTCTACTGTCACCATTAAATCCTGAAAATCCAGGCCTGTTCTTCTTAAAGGGGGGTGGGTCTAAGGAGGGTGGGGCCTGCCCCTAAGACTGGTCAAAAGAGTAAGTGTAAAGATCAGACAGCATTGTTTTCACTTGAGCATTCTTAGCTTGATGTCTGAATAATACAGGAGATAGGATGCATGGTAGGGGGGGTTAGGGTAGTTTTTGAAATACAGGAATCTAATTATTCACTAAGTACTGACATATAACATATATCATCTGCAGATAATAAACATGATATTTTTCAAATTTTCCAAGAAGGAAGAAGGCTGGAATGCTTCAGGATTCTCAGCTCCTGCTGAGTTTGCAGATATTTGCTTTCAATCTTCATGGGCAACCAAAGTGCATCTATGGGGACCCTGCTTATCCCTAGAGGATTCAATTGCAGGCACCATTTTGCAACTGAGCGTTAACTCCTCAAATGCAGGCATACAATTCAGCCATGAGTGAAGTTCGATCCTCAGTGGAGTAGTTGTTTAGGGATTTCATTAATTATTTCAAGTTTTTGGACCTCAAAAAAATCTGAAAATTGGCTTAAGTAGTGTGGGGAAAATGTGTGTGATGTGTGCACTTCTTAGGAATGCGCTCTCTTGCCTCAATGGCAACCAAACATGAGAGTTTTTTAGCTTGACCCACCCAGCTTACAAGATTACTTTGGTTAAAAAAAGTGTAAACATTTAACATTCATTGCATTTAAGTTAAGATTTCCTAGACTTGAGTCTCAGAAATGGTGAAGTTTTGTCCCTAGATGAGAAAAAACTCAAATGTCAATTGTACACGTATGTTTCGCAACCAAAGTCCTTTTGTACTGTAAGGACCATACATTAACTTACCATAAGTAGAATTAAAATAATAACAATTTTACATCCAATCTTTGAGTAAAACTTTGATGAACTATCAGATTCTTCCAACTTGTGTCATTTGATAATTATTTCTTGGGATCTAAGCTTGATTCTGGTTTGCAAATTTATTTTGCAGTTTTACTTTTATCTTCCTTTTTTTTAATTTAAGGAAAATAGAAAAACCAAAATGGTTTTAATTTTTTCAACCAAAAACAAATTTAAAACCTGAAAATAATAAACCTGCCTTTTTCTAATTTGCAACTGAACCAAATGGGTTGAAAATATCAAATAATGACAACCCCACTGAACACAGAAAACCCAGCAAAGGGTAACACCAACAATACAAAAAGGTAGAGATCTTGAACCATGTTTTAAGATTTCTTTGGTAACAATCTTTCAATAAGGGTCATTATGGCTGCTGTCTGCTGTTGTTGCTGCTGCATTATAGCTAAAATCTGACCCTGTCTGGCAGCTTCTTGTTGTTAGTGTTGTTTCTTTACGGCAAGTTCTTCTGCTTGAAACTCATTTTCCTTCCCTGTTTTTTCCTTCAAAAACTTCACTGCACCATTTCCACTCCACCATCATTTGGTCTGCTTCCCTTAATCACCCTCAGCTTCAGATATTTTTTTTGTCTGTCCAAATCGCTCCATGGCCTCTTTTCACATTTTCTCTGCAGTTTGTTTGCCTGCCTCAATCTTCTTTAGGGTTTACTTAGAATCTCTGGATTCTTTTGCCAATTTTTCTTGCTCTATTATTTCATCCATTAAAGTTTCAAGTTCAGTCAGATTATCTACTGCAATGCCACTAACCACCACCAACTTACATCACTAACCACCACCAACTTACATATCATCCAGGAGAATTTCTTTGAGAAAGATTCCTGAAAATTTTATCTTTGTAAACCCTTTTATATTAAATCATGTTGTGTACAAAAGGTACATGTAAATAAACTACAGTTAGATACATCCCAATAGAGAAATCAAATTGTAACGCCATACGGTAAATTTGACTTGAAACAAATAAAAATGAGTTGTAAATGTTATTTTAATCTTAAAAACAGGGAGACTCGCTCGCTATTAGTAAACATGTAAGCATATTATTTAGCACAATATTAAATGCATGCAACATCCAAAATTGGCCAGTGCACGCAAAATTTAAAATTCCAAATAGATGGCAAGTGAATGCATTTCTGTCTAACAAGCTGTTAATAGATTTGCAAGGTTTGGAAAAAAACTATAAGCCATCCTGTCACCAGGGAATGAGTGAATTTTCATACATTAAGCTTAGGTGTTGTAAAATTGCCAATTTGGAGCCTATAAAACCAAATTAAAGTTTCTACATGGTCCTTCATAACCCCTCGTCATTCCTCAGCTTCAGCTACTTGAATTTCAAGTAGTCTTTGAGGTTTGATAAGGAAAACTTTGTACTTTCTCTTGCTGTTCACTGCGTTTGCCATGTGCTCACTGCCTTGATTCTTCGACAAACCTGGCAGCAAAAATAAAGGCAGGTTCACTCGGTAAGGAGCATGAAGCTTGATAAATATTCATGATAAGCTATTTTTAAAGATGTTAAGTGTATTTCAACAGTTAAAATTGCTCAGGAGACTGTATGAAGCAGAGAAAGAAGCAAGATAAGTCCATGTACCGCACAGTACGCCAAAACCTTCCCACTAGCATAGAAGGATTACATGCTACGGCTGGATGGGAACAACTGACATGCTCCATGACTCGTTTTTTGACAATTTTACTTCCGGTAGCCTTAGCAGCACCAGCCATAGCCATTTGCTTAAGCTCCCTAGTGATTCATATGTGACTGTGGTGTATTTAATTACTGGAAGATCAAAAGGCACAACGAGGAGTCTGGGGTAATTATTGATAGCATTTGCCGCATCTCATTGTGCACGCCATGCCAAATCATGTGAGACTTGCGGCACCACTGTCACTTTTGGTGGTCAACAAAACATGGCTGGTGCCGGCGGCTTTGCTTGGTTTGGCCTTCAGGTCAAACAAGAGGCAAAATCCTGAATTAATTCAGTCATAAAAGTCAACCTTTCAAACCAAAGTGTAGACATAGTGATACATACAATAAATATTCTTGGCACACTTTTGTAACATCAAGAATTATTTGATACATTTTTGTAATCTTGGTTATAAGATTCATACTATTTATATTTCACAGTATAAAATTGTTCTTAATACTGTACTTTGTCATCTTTGATATATTAAACATCAAGTACAGTATTAAATTGCTTACACAAGTATACACCTGTTATTCACTATATATCCAGTTTTAAAACTTTTTGTGGGACATTTTATTTTTATTTTTATTCCAACCCCCAACATTAAATTCTTGAAAAAAATTCCTGTACCACATAAAATATAAAATGTCTGGCCTTACTTCCTTAAAACTATAATCAAGTTATAGTCAATCCACTTTGCAAAAGTAGAAAGACAATAAATGAAGTCATTGAACTGCTAGCCGCCAAATACCAAGGTTCCAAATAATGTACACTTTATTCTTCCTGTTATTTATCTCTGTACAAGTTCAAATCTATTCGAAATCAAGTAGAAATATATATGTTTCTGTCAGAAAGATTGTCAGGATAATCAAGCACATAAAGTAACGTATACATACCCGTTGGTGTCTCAAATTCCGCAACTAGTAGTCATTTAATTTTGTCTTACTAATAACAGATTGTTATGTCACTTCATAATAATTATGACGATAATTTCAGTAATTTCACGTCATAGTGAAACAGTCATCAAGCCGCTCTGTTAAGATTTTATCTATAAATTGTAAAAATGTTTTTCGATCTACAATCATCTTCAGTGTTAAGACAACAAAATGATTTTAAAATGGAAGCCTCACCCTGTCAATCATCAAATTGTAGCTGCATATAGCTAAAATAGCATTTTGTGTTGTACTGTATGTGGCCCAGTGGAGCCATCTACAAGCCGTGGTCTTGCTACACCATAAGGTATGCTTATAGAGAATGAGGAGGGCGAGGCTGCAAGTGGCCATTCACTGGATCATGAATTGGCCAAGTCAAGTTCATACCCACTACTAGCTCTATATCTAGCAGTGACATTCAATCTGGAGATTTTGGAGTGGCAGTTGAACTTAAGAAATCACGATCACTAACTGATAGTGAGCAGTAACATTTGCTAACAAAGCACTTTGTGCCTAGTGCAAACTATGTTTTCCCATCAAAGGAATATAGGGGGAAGGACTAGGTCTTTCCAGTTTTCTTGGATAGAGAAATGCAAAGGACTTGTGTATTCTGAGAAACACTGTGGGCAAACTGTAAGTAGTGTGTGCTTTTTCCAGAACTCCACAAACTCCACAATAATCACATTTGGCGTTCTGGTTGCAGCCCACTTAACCATCTGGAAAAAGACACCTGGCAAGACAGGAAAGCTACATTCCCATTTCAGCACAAGTCAGTATCAAGCACGGGCTGTAGAATTTGCTGACGAGTTCCTTCAAACCATGTCCAAAAAAGCAAAGCCAGTGAATCAACACATCAATTCTTGAAGAGCAAAGCAAGTTAAGGAAAACCAACGCAAGCTAGCCTCCATTGCCAGTGCAATCCTGATGTGTGGGTGACAATGAATAGATCTTCGTAGTCATCAAGATGACAGCAGTAATGTGGCCAATGACCTCAACAGAAACCATGGAAACTTTCTGGCACTGCTAAAGTATAGGGCATGTGGAGGCAATTCAATCTTGGATGACCACTTCAATTCATGTGCTGGGAATGTGATAAACACAAGCAAGACAATCCAGAATGAGCTGATTATGATCTGCAGTCATTTGATCAGAGGCTTGATCCTGGAGGAAGTAAGGGAAGCCTGATTCTACATAGTCATTGCTGATGAGGCCACCAACTTGTCTAACTTTGAACAGCTTCCCATCAGTGTCAGATTTCTTGATAGCTACCACAATCCACAGGAATACTTCTGGGGTTCAGTGAATGCAACTCGATGAAGCCATTGCCAAAAACATCATAAGAAATCTGAACAGCTTGCTATCAGTGACAGATTTCTTGACAACAACAGCAATCCACAGGAGTACTTTCTGGGGTTCAGCAAATGCAGCTTGGTGAAGCCACTGTTGAAAACATCACGAGAAATCTTCCCAATTGGCAACTAGAGCTCACCAATTTGTGTGGACGGGCCTATGATGGTGCCAATGCAGGTGCCACAAAGGGGGCAGCTGCACACATCCTACAGCAGTATCCCAAGGCCCTGTTTACACACTGTGCAGACCATATGCTGAACTTGTGCGTGGTCAAGTGCTCCTCAGTTCTCAAAGTAAGCAATGCTACAGACCTTCCAGATAGCATTGTTTGTTTCTTCGATAATTTACCAAAACGTCAGAATTTCTTACATGGCTTTATTCCTGAAGGTGAAAGCAGAAGGACATTAAAAGAACTGTGTCATACAAGATAGGTAGAACACCATGATGCCTTTAAAGTTTTTCTTCTCCTGTACAAGCCGTTGGCACACTCCCCGAAATATTTATTGACTGCGCCAGCCAATGAATGGAACAGGGAAATTCACAACGACACCCGCCTTATACTGAATTTGTTACTTCCCCTTGTTGTGGCATTAACACTAACCTGAGAGGTGCTGCTGATGACCAAGGCCCTGCATATCAAGCTGCAAGGCACCTACATGGGCATCATGTGAGCCCATGAGGAAGTTGAGCTTGTTAAGCAGCAAGTGAAGCAAAACCGCAAGGAGGTTGATGGCTTCCATCAGCACATTTACAATACTGCTGTTGCTCTGGCAAGTGAGATCGGGCTGTCGGAGGAAACACCCAGGGTAACTGGATGGCAACAGCATAGGACCAACCCTGAGGCATCTACACCATGCGAATTCGACCACCACTCAACAGCATGGCCACTGCTTGACCACCTCCAGGTGCAACTTGAAGAGCAGTTCAGTGCTGGGTTGCAGAGTGCTAGGCATCTACACCACTTTGACTATCTTGCCCTGTGATCTTCAAAGGAGGGTTGAGCCACTGAAGAGGGCTGACATTGAAGATATTCTCAATGTATGAAACAGACTTGCCATATGCCTATGCAACCTGTGTTGAGTTGCAAGCGTGGTACCTCAAATGGCATGGCAATCCCAACAACACAGAAGTTAATACAGCCCCCAAGGTGCTACAGAATACAGACAAGGTCATGTATCCTAGCATCACCACACTTCTAAGGGCTGCAGCAACACTGCCAGTGACAAGTGCTATGTGTGAAAGGTCTATCAGCACCCTACATTTGCTGGAAACACATTTAAGGTCAACCATGACTAACTCACAAATGAATGGCCTTGCAATGATGTTTAACCACTGGAAACAAAGCAGCCAGAAGCTCTAAAATTTGATACCATCATTGACAAATTCCCAGCTTGCAACCCTCAAAGAATGAAACTGTCTGATTTGGGTGAAAGTGACAAAAGACTGAGCTCACTTAGCCCTCATGAAGAGCTAGACTCAGCTTAGTAGACAATTGTCTCTGATTTCACTGATTCCAGGAAATATTTGTAGAACAAAGTCCTAAGGAGTCAAAGCTACATAGTCATGGTCAAGTCAAATCAAAGTAGTAGACTCATTCACAATACCAATCCCCATGGACGAAGGTGCCCCATCTCTTCCTTTTGACTATATGTTAAGCCTATTTCTTTGTCAATTAGGCTTGCCCCCTGGAAAGCTTACGCCTAAAGCGCTTGTGGTTTCGTCAGAGGAGCTCCTCCGGGAACTGAGTTCCATCCTGAAGGAGTTTGTTGATTTGAAAAAAAAAAACTATTAAAAATGAATCAACTCCCCTATTGTTCAAGAGAATAATATTCACACCCTCTTCAGAACTCACAAGTGAGACATTGTGAATATTATTTGCCTGTGAAAAATTCAAGTTGCCTTGAAATCAAGGTTGTTTTCAAAATGTTCAAAAACTGTTTTTTTGGAAATCAGGGTTAAAATTCATGAGTTACCTTGAAATCAAGGATGCTTTTCAAAATGTTCCAGAATCCCCCTTTTCTAACTACTGATCCAGAACACAAGAGGACAGAGGGGAAAAAGGAGACTTTCTTTACAAGGTGTGAGGTATCTATGATCACCCTGTGTGGAAATTCAAGGAACTTTATAACTGTTCCCAAGAAATTTCAATTGATGAAGCCCTTGTGCCATTCAAATTCATAGGGAAATTCACTCTAAAGGTTAGAATGTCCGATAGGCGCTTTAAGTTTGGCGTGTAATTCTTTCAGCTGTGAGATGCAGAGAATGGCTATTGTAAGAATTTCATCATGTATGTGACTGACAGGGTTGTTATGAAACTGGTGGAAGATTTGCACCACTAAAATCATCTTCTCTATGTGGACAACTTCTACACAAGTCCACTTCTCTTCCTTCTCTTGAAAGCAAGGGGCACCCTAGCAGCTGGAAAAGCAAGACCCATGTAGAGCTACCCTCACGACTAGCTAAACCAGACTGCCCAAAGAAAGTGCGGAGAGGTGGCCTGGCTGTCAGCCAAAGACCAGAAAATGACTACCTTGAGGAATTGTTGGGTGCCACCCTCCACCAGTAGTACCAGCTTGCATAGGACAAGATGACAGAACATCTGATGATGATGATGATGATGATATCACTGATATTGTGCATTGAAGGGTCATGGTCCAAGGTCATTGGGTGCCGAAGAAAGTCTACAAGCCAGACATTGTCTAGGTATGAAATGACATCATGGGACAAAATCTTGAAAATTGGTGCTAAATCTTTTTTAAAATCAACAAAAGTGATTCACCACATGATGTGTAATGCTTTACAGCTTGGGGGAGACACCATTTTCAATTCATTGTACAAGTCATAACTCTTGAGTTACAGAACAATTTAACTTCAAAATGTAATGCTCATAAGTTGATTTTCACTTTCCAGCCATTTTTTGGGTTTTTATCGAAACGTTGTCAAGATTTGAATTTTTTTTGGAACCAAAATCGATCCAATCCATGAAAAGCCGATGAAAATATTGGCAATAGAGTTTGTTCTTACCATAAGGTCTACAATGTTGATCCTGGGGAAGGTCAGTGATCAAATGAAAAGCAAAAACAAGTGTGACAATCTAGCCATTTTGACAGCTTCCTTTACTTCCAAATCACCTTAAAGTCTACAGAACCAATAAGCATCGTTTCAGATGTCCTTATTAAGAAGTAAAATATTACATCAGGTGAGGAAATGAGTGAGAAACTCCTTAACCATATGCCTCATGTTTCAAGCATGCAGTCAAGTAGTGTGTTATTTGCAAGCACAAGGCCGTGAAATTGGATGCAAAGATTATGGATTCTAGAGTCTCTAGGTATCAGACGTGGCAAGAAAAAAAGGAAATACAAGAGAAAAGAAGAGCACTTATGAGAAAAGCTGAGAAAGTATTATTGAAAAGGTCATGGAAGCCAGAAGGGAAAGTCAAGAAGCCAAGAGCGGAAAATGACAGTATGTTTCAATCAGAGATGCCACAAAGAAACATTGGTGCAAATGAAACCAGCAGAAGATAACTTCAGAAAATAAAGGAAAACTTGACAAACAGAGAAAGATGTTTAGAGAATGAAGTAAGCAATACCATCAAAAACAGAAGATCAAAATGTACAGTTTTAATTGGAAGGCGCACTGATCAGTTACTAGTACGCCATTCCTAAACAGGATGGCCAAGAAATGTCCCATTGAACTAGCTAAGAACAGTCTCCCAGATACCGTGAGAAGAAAGCAGAAATAATGGCAGCTATCTCAGAAAGCCCATGGACAAGGAAAGTGCAGGAGAAATTCAGACTAAAAGTGATTGCACTAAAAGCACTAACAATCTTACCCAAGGCCTTAAAGCTGTCAAAAATGACAAGTCAAACAAAGGAAGAGCTGCACTTGGAGCAGCAAAATCACTTTCTTTTGGTCAAAATGTTAAAAAAAGTAGAAGCCAGACGATACTTTCAAGGCTCCTCACCTTGGATAGAAGAAGCATCAAGTAAGGAATTGAGAAATGTGAAATGATTTTGGAAGGTGAAGAGCCACACTGGCTTGCAACCAAACAAAAACCAGGCAGGATGAGGTCACTGAAGAAACAAAGGAGGTTGTTTATGATTATTGGAAAATGGTGGCAAGTAGACCAACAGGAAACAAGAAAGACTTGATTAGAAAACACATTGGAGTGAAAACGTGGGTTGAACATCCAAAGTACATGTTAGAAAAAACCCAAATGGAAGCCTACGCAGAGTTTGCATCAATGCATCCAGAGATAAAGATATCTCAGCGGAAATTTGAAAACCTAAAGCCTTATTTTGTTAGGGTGGCAAGGAAACAAGATAGACAGACCTGCATGTGTCACCAGCACATTGTACTTCAAATTGTTTTCAAAGACCGCATGAAGTTTAGGAAGAGATTTGTTGATGAAAGCAGAGAAGCTAATCAAGCAGTTACAGAAGTGTACACCTCAGTTGGAAATATTATTGAAAAAACACTTTGCCCCAAACCCAAAGATCACAACTATCTTAAATTGAAATGCTTGAAAAGGAAGTGCAAAGACTGTGGAGTTCCCAGCTTGTTTTTGCTACCAGAGGAGAAAGATGCTGGCCACCACAAAGTGAAATGGAAGTGGTACGAATGTGTCAACTGGAAAACTTACCACTGATGGAAGGGAAGAAAATAGCCCCTGTTGAGAAGTGCACAGGACCAAAGGAACTGCTTGATTATTTCATTCAGCTGTTTGGACAGTTTCCTTATCATTCCATTCTTACAAAATGGCAAAGGGATCAGCTCTATTCTCTTTTTGAAAACCTTCCTCTTGATCAAGCCATATGCATCTCTGACTATTCTAGGGGTTTTGCCTGTCGGTTTTAAGATATATCCAGTCCCAATACTTTTGATGTGTTTACTCTTGAGCTTTTTACTGTGGTAACAGGGTTTACTTACCTTGGTAAATTATTCGTCACTGTAAACATCAACTAATACCTCAGTAAATGCTGCAAAAGACAAAGGCCTAGGTTGCACTGGAGAAAAAGTTCAGACAAGTCTATTTTGATAACCCAAATATCTGTCAAAATCCTGCCATCAGTTGACCACACCAAGTGCGACCTACTTGTCTCTTCACAGAAAAAAAATTGTCTATAGAGACAAATCTTCAGAGGTGACTTCATCCTGCCTTAAGGCAGGACTTTACGCACAACAAACATTTTATGCTTTTCTTTTAACCAAATTGTCAATCAATTCATTGCATCTTGAATAAATTGTCATTTCACTTTTTACTCTTCTCTTTGAATATCTAGTGTTGTCTTGTCACAGTTGGTCATGAATCCTGATTTTTAATTGAATTTTCCATTCGGGGACAACGGCTCTCCCTCATACGAGGACCAAAGTCAATATAGGCCAGGGCAACTGTTCTGGAACCGAAATCATAATGATGACATGCATCCATTTCCCTATAATTTTGTGCCATCTGCTGCAGGAACGGTGGCAGCTTTGGCACCCTTTCAGTTTGTTGAGCCCAGGATTGGTCAACCCTCGTTCGTACAACCAAGTTCCAGCAGCTCTGCATCTGTTCAATCCCCTTCACCTTCACCTTCACCGCCAGAGTCAATTGAAGAGGAACCAGCAAGGCCGAAAACTGGCAGAGGTTATGGAAAGTGGAGCGAACAAGAGGAGACGCTATTAGTTCAGCTACGGTGTGATAAACACATGTGACTAGAGATAAGGCATTCCCAGCAATTGTGGGAGGAAATAGCTAAAGAAATATCCAAAACTCGGAATGTGACAAGGGCCCTGTTCCAGTGGAAAAGCAAATATCTTGAGGATTGCTATAAAGAGGCAAAGGATCACAATTGTAACCAGACAGGAGGCGACAGAAAAACCTCACCATTCTACAACAAAATAGGTTCTGTTCTGGGGTGAAGAGACATCATGACCTTCAGTTACGTTGAAGAATCCAAGCCAAGCACTTCCCTGCATTCTTCAGATTTGGTGAAAAGCAACACAGAAAAGGACAAAGACAAGACCAATTTGATGCGCAGTTTGAGCAGTCTTTGGCGATGTTTGGCCAGAATAAAAAGAGGGAAAGGAAGAGTAAACAGAGGGATGAGAGAAAGTGCACCAAAACTTCCAAAGTTCCACGGAAGGAACATGATGATGAAGAATCAGCCCTTTCCCATGGGACCGTAGAAACCCTTCAGAGTCAAGGAGAGAAACTAACTGGAGTACTAGAGGCCATGGTAAAAAACCAAATGCAGCAATTGCAGTTAATGAACCAGTTTATGAACACTTTCATGCAGGCAATGCAGTTGAAAGATAAATAATTTAGCTCATGGATTATTACATCAGAGCACTACTTGCAGATTGCAGTGATGTTATAATTAAAAAAACATTTATTTTTGTACCCAAAGAATACATATATAGAGAGAGGACAAGAAGATAGCGATTAAAATGACTTTAAATTTTATACTTTATTAAAATATTCTTGATACTATTTGGTATTATTAAAATTTTTCATATTAGCACATCATGGCAACAAATTTTCTCGATCAGAAACTAGTGACAATATGTGCAGTGAATTTACTATTTTAATTTTTTTAATTGATCATTATAATAGCAAATGATTTCTTTCAAGTGATTCCATATATAGTGATATTGGTACATTACCATTTTTGTACATGAATCTTCATTGATTAATCAACTTCATTCCTGGAAATACTTTTAATAACATAATAAAACTATGTTATCACATAAACTTAGAAACTGGAACAGTTTCTTTTTTTACACTGTCCTTAAAAACTTTCCATGTATTCACATATTCCAAAGATATTCCTTTAAAAAATCTCTCAGATCTGCAAAAATCAGCATTTCCATCCCTGATAGGAAAATCGTCATCATTTTCATCATCCCATAAATCTGTAGCATCAATGCAAAAATTGTGAAGAACACAACTTGCAATGATTGTCTGATTAGTAAAGGCTATACACCGAATGCAAATATGGCAGACCACTCGGACAGCCCAGAACTAATAGCATGGAAGTAAGGCTAGTCAGTCCTCTGATGCTTTGTTTTGACTACACATCCTTTTGACTTTGTGTTGTTGTGTAATCATTTTGCAATGCCTTCGCTCTGCTGCGTACCCAACTGCAATCAGAAAGGTTACACATTGTCATTAGGAGAAAATGTTTCTTTCTTTCTTTCCTAAAGCGCCTCTGATAAGAAAACAGTGGATACACACAAGCCGTTGGGAGGAAGGCAAGGCCTTCATAACAGAGCATACGAAAGTCTGTTCACTACATTTTAGGTCAGAAGACCTTAGGAAGTCTATTAACAGATGGATTTATATCAAGGAAGGCAGTGTTCCTTAAAAATTTGACTGGTCAGGACCTTCTCCAAAAAAAAGAAAGGCCCAGACCGAACAGACACCGCTGCCTGCCAAGAAACAACTGCTTGTCAAAGACAACTCTTATCGCTCTGATCAGTCTGCCTCTGTAAACAGTGAATTACAAGATGTCCACCTGTGAGCCAAGTACAAGCTTCGAAGATGACACATGTAAAACCCCAGATTTAGAAAGACAAATCGCCGAACAAAGCACAAAGATCGGCGAACTGCAAGAGAAATTAAAGCAGGCAGAAAGTGATATAAACCTTCATCACGAAAACATCGAATTGAATGAGAAATTGGCAGAGTGCAAATGCTAACAGAAGGAAATGTCTTTGCGTTTATTTTGTGTGGATCGTTTCACAACAGAGACGTTTCACAGACAGAGACACTTCTTTTTACACTGGTCTGTCCAATTATGCGACTTTTATGGCCATTTTCGAGTATTTAAATCCTGGAGACAATTGTGCAAACATTCGCCCCAGTGGCAGTGTGACAGATGTCCCTGAAGACTTTTATAATTCAGACTCTGAAGATGAGGGAAATGTTCAGGCTGCAAAGAAAGGATGTCGCCGAAAGCTCAAGCCACTAGATAAATTTTTCATTGTGCTTTGTCATCTGAGAAGAGGGTTCTCAGAAAAACATTTGACTCATCTTTATGGTGTGGCTCAGTCTACTGTGAGTCGAATTTTTGTACCATGGATAAATTACATGTACTTGAAATTTGGCCAGATATGCATTTGGCCATCAAAGGAGGTTGTGCAGGCAACCATGCCAGCTGATTTCAAAGAGAAATTCCCAACTACGAGAGTCATCATAGACTGTACGGAGGTGCGCTGTGAGATGCCCAGCAGTTTGCTGCTCAATTCTGAGTTATTCAGCTCCTATAAAAATCATGTAACACTCAAAAGACTAGTGGGCATTGCCCTGAGTGGTGCAATTACCTTCATTAGCCAGCTTTATACTGAAAGTATATCAGATTGGGAAATTGTTATTCAAAGTGGCTTCTTGTCACAGAAATTTGAGAATGGCGACACTGTTATGGCCAACAAAGGATTTCAAATTGCAGACATTTTGCAACTTGGAGTAAAACTGAATATTCCGCCTTTCCTTGAGGCAAATACTCAAAAAAAATGTCTGCCAAAGATTTTGTACAAACACAACAAATAGACCTTTTTCACCACTGATGTCATAAAGCTGTCACATGGTCTCTATTGGGTAAACAAGCCCGGGAAGAACAGCACTTCTACTTTTGGAAGCCATGGTTCATTACTGCTGTGTTTACGATTGTAAAAATAACTCAACTGATAAGGATTTCTCATTTCACAGCTTCCTGAAGAATAAAAAGCTCGTAAAGGTAAGAAATATCGCTACAATCAACTAAAATATTTCAGCGAGTCGAACGATACCCTAGTTCGTTTACAGCGTTCACTTGCTTTATTCGCCATGAGATCCTTATAAACTTTGTTGGAAGAAAACAAAACTGTTTTTTTTTACTAAATATCTTTTACTTTTCTGTATGTTTAACTTCTAATAAGTTGTACTGGATTGAAGACCAACTCGCAGACGTCCCTACTCGATTTTATATGCCGGCGAGTTGGTGTTGGTGAGTTGAACCATCGGCGATTTGACCATAATTCTTAACAACTGCCTGAAGTCTATTCATACTGGTCCACAAATCAGGTTCTTGGAGTTCCAGGAGTGCAAAAGATTTTTCTGAGGAATTGATTTGCCAAAATATTGCAATATCTTCATCTAAACGATAAGAGAAGAAGATTGCCAGGTCAGCATGCAAACCACAACATTATTCAAAAAGCGACCTCTTCTCGATTCTGTTGTAGAGGCTACTAAAAGTGAGTACAAACTGTTGAAAAACGTTTCAATCAACAAGGCAACAATTCCTTTTAAAGGAAGACTTTACCTAAAACAATATATGCCATTAAAACCGGTGAAGAGGGGAATTAAAGTGTAGGAATGCGTCGAACAGCTTTGTTTGTGATTTGAAGGTCTACACAGGAAAACAACACAATGGTAATCCCAAACAAAGACTACTAATAAGACACCATGTTGTCCACAATCTCACTCAACCCTAGGTAGGCAAAAACCATCATGTTTTTGTTGATAATTTTTTCAATTCTCTTGCTCTCACAGAAGATTTGCTTCGAGATCGCATTTATATCTGTGGAACTGGTCGTGGAAATCAACAAGGCATCCTGCAGGAAATTGCCCCTTCGACTCAAAGAGTCACACAACTTCGTCAAGGGGAGTTGTTGTTTCTTTGCAGGGAGAACATTGTTGTCTCTGTATGGAAGGATAAGATGCCAGTTTATTTTTTGAGCTCTCAATCCAATCCTGTGGGGAACAACACTGTCAGTAGACAGTAATGCCACAGAACAGTAATTCAAGTTCCCAGTACCCCAGTTGTGAAGACATACAACAACAACATGGGCAGATTAGACTTCAATTATCAAATGCAGGGCTATTCCATGGCTAGAAGAAAATCACAAAAGTGGTGGCATTGCCTCTTGCGGTTCTTTGTGGACATTGCAATCGTAAATACACATATTTTGGTGAAACTGTCCTCACATCACCGATCAAGAACCCAACTGGCTTTTCAGTTAGATCTTGAGACGTTACTGATCGCAAATTTTTCAGCACAGCAATTGTGCACAAGTTCTGGGCACCTAGAAGGAGGGCATTGGCCCATAAAGTTCTCCAAAGGTCGCTGTAAGCGCTGTTTAATGGAAACAAGGAGACATGGTGCAGAGTGGCTTGTGGACTTTGCAGTAAACACATTTGTTTAGACTGTTTTAAGAACCATACCACAGATGATCTTGCTTGAACATTGGCACTAAATTTTAAAACTCAAGCTTGTAAAAATTTGGATTTTTGTAGTAATTTACTGAAAAATTGACCACTGAATCAGTCCAAAATAGCACTAATAATTCTATATCATCTATTTTCTTCCTTTAATAGGTTAATTAGATGTAGTTTGCCCTGAAATATAACAATTTTCTGTGAGACATAGATGAGTTCATGAACAACATGAGTGGTTTTTGTTGAGATTTCTATTCACTTAGCTTGAGTTCTTAATTCAAGATACCCCATTCCAAATATATCTATATATAGTTTACTTAATATTTTAATACATATTTTATAGTTTGTATATTTCAAATTTATATCTAAATGTAAATAACTTGTTATTAACACTCTTTTATATACATTTTTGGTTGGAGTGTCCCCAATTAGTTGTAAAGCTAAATACAAAGACACTTTAATAAAGTTTATGTATGTATGCATGTATGTATGTGTATGACAGCTGATGGCTTTGATGATGATATGATCAAACCTCAAGGGCTAGAGCCATACAGTTTTCAATTTTTTTCATTTCTTCTAATTGCTCATTAGAGTGTCACAGAGAACTCCAAAAAGAGCAATACTGTAGGTTGACTGCTTGGAACTGTTTATGAATGTACTGTATTTGTCCCAAGATTTTCTTGGTGTTATCTTTGAAATGGCATTTCAGAGAACTGACAATGAGTTTGTTTAGGCAAATGTTTTGTTAAGGACACACCTGCCCTGTACTTCTTTTAGGCATTGTGGTATAAATAATTTATATTGTATTAGAAGATCATATTTATAATATATTAGAATAAAATTCCTATTGAAATACAAGAACCTATTTTAGTAACCTTGATAGCCTAAATTTGTTTTAAGCACCATTTATATAAGAACCTGTTTAGGCTAAATTAAAAAATCCAGGCTCTTATGTGTGGGCTTCTACTGTATATCAAGTCCATTAAAACTACTCTGTGCCAGCTATGGCAATGGCTTGAGAATTCACCAAAGAGACTTGCAGCCTTTCTGAAAGTTCAGGTCAAGTGCCAAGAATGTGACAGACAAGGCAACAAAAGTAATTGCAAGAAGGTTGAAAAAAGCATGCAGTTCACACTGGCTGCATTTTGACAAATCTGTGTTTGCTGGAAAGCAAGAATGTGAAAGTTTATTGGAGACTTTTAACATGTTTCAAGAAAGTGATGCAGCAACTTCTGGCTTCCTACAGAAGTTGAAACAAGTCAAGTTTCTAGGAACCATCTACATCTTTGCAGAGGTATTGCCCAAGTTGTCAGCAATATCCAAAGCCTTCCAAGCAGGCAAGTTCAATTTCTCTGCAATACTGCCAACACATGGTTCGTACGCTTTTGACTTTCTGACATTCCATGACTTTCCATGACTTTTTCCATGACCTTTTCCGATTTTCCATGACCCAATTGTTCAAATTATTTTTCTCAATATATACTTACAGTACCATCAATTCGTTTTTTCCTTGCATGTTAACCAAATTGTAGAAAAGAAGAAGATGCTAAGACCAGTTAAATTCATACGTATAACACGGAATCTTTATTTCCGTGCAACAAAATGACACAAGTGCAACAACACGACGTAAACAGATACTTTTTTACTAAACTTTACAGTCCAGAACTATATCTTTTAAATTTCCTAAGATAAACTTTACAGTCCAGAACTATATCTTTTAAAATTTCCTTATAAAACTGTACAGTCCAGAACTATATCTATTAAAATTTCCTAACAAAATCTATTGTTTCAGTGTTCACAATTGCAGTATGAGGTTTCAGTTTTCATCTACAATATAGAAAAATATATGAGTGCATCCTTGTATGAACAAATCTATTTGTTCAATGGTTAAATGCTTGCAATTCTGGTAAATAACTTCAAGAAAGCAGTACTTTTGGACAGGTTGTCACTCGGACTTATTTATCACACTCTTCCAATTCCTTGTTTAAGTTTTCTAGTTCTATCTTCTTCTCCTTTGCTGCATTTCTGAGTGCATTTGATTCGGTTAACAAGACGAGCTGCCTCTTCACCTCAGCCTCTTTAGCTAATTTGTCAGCATCAAACTGTAAGGTGGTGATCTCTGTTTCAAGTCTCTTCTTTTTCTTCTGGAAATCAGCTTTTGCTTCATCCACAGATTTTCGTTTGTGGCTTTTGGCAACATTTTTCGCAAGCTGTCGCTGCTCTTCAAGATGGGCGTGATACCGCTGTCTTCCTGCTTTAGCAGAGGTAAGAAGCTCGTTCGAAATGACCAATTTATGAAATCCATCAATACTCAATATGTGGTCATGAATGGTGCGTTGGGCAACGAAAGTGGTCTCCTTCATATTCTCAATCATTAGCTGTCGGTTAACGGAAAATCCCCTTTCTACACTTGCTTGCCCATGTGAGAGACACAAGAGGAATTTCACAACGTCCCACAGTTTGGAAAGTGAACCGACAAGACCAATGTGTTTTTGGAGAAATGCATCCAATCTCTGATCTGTAAAGTCAAAGTCTTCAAACTCAGACTTGTGCACCTGTGTAGCCCGTTCCGTAAATTCACTGTACTGTGACAACAAAATGTCACAATCATGAATATCAACCCTCTTGCATTCTACCAATTTCTTGAGGACAATCTTGAACCTCGCACAGCTTGCTTCTTTCTCTGTCACAATATGAATCGGATCCAAACAGCACAGGTTCCTGGCAAGGGAATAGGCAATTGGGGTCTTCTCAATAAGTTTTCCAACTGTAGCTGTAAGGAACGACTGGAATTCCTTCCTAAATTCATATGTCTGACGATCACTGATTTTCTTGGCTGCTTGCAATTCTTTTCAGCTTCGTGGCAGCAACAAAACCAACATCCAACTTCTCCACGTCAAGGCAATTCTCCCTCTTCTTGAAGTCAATCTTCAGAAGCTTTACTGCAGAGCTGGCACCCTGGAGTACATCAGCTTTGACGAACCTTTTCATGAGACCACGAATCACCTTCTCTAGACTGCTGGCCACAAATGGTAGAAGAGGGCTGTCGCTTTGGAACTGTACCAGAAATGGTTGCAGCTGTTTAGCCACTGACTCAAAAGCAGCAAATTTGAGAGGCATTAGTGGATCTTGGGTTGAATCTCTTATCGTCTTGTAGGACTTTGAAGTTGGCACACTATATTTGCTGCTACGTTGCACCGTTGTCACATAGAAAGTGACTTCTTTCCATATTTCCTGGGCCCGTACTACAACTGGCAGGTTCTCCAGCCATCTGTGCTTGCAGTACTTAATTGGAAATACAACACTGCTGGTTATTTCTGTGTAATCCTCTCTTCGTGCTGGTGAATCCACAAATAACCAATGAAGAGAAGACAGAACTTCCTGAATGCTCCAAGTAGATGCCTTTGATCCAGCTTTGAAAGCATTGTGTACAATGTGAAGTCCACAAGAGCCTACGTTAACTAAGATGGGTGCGTTTTCGTCAACCTCAGAGATCAGTTCCTGGAATAGCTCATGCAGTTTCCAATTCACGTTAGGCCCGTCCATTGACAACTGCAATATGTTGGACTTCTGAATCTTGATACTATCAAGGTAGCTAACGATCTTTTCAAAAGGTCGTCGGCTGTAGCATGTCCCAGAAATACAGAGGTTAGGTACCTTGTCTGCACTCTGGAGTTCTTTGCATCCCAAAACCTAACATGCAGATCCATCTGCTTGGTTTGGGTAACTTTATTGTGCGATTCATCAAAAAGTAAAACAAACAATTCAAGTTTTGTGACTTCATCCGTAAGCTTACGTTGGAAATAGGGTGCTATGCCAAAACAAGCTAAGTAAGCACATTTTTTCTCGCCACAGGAAAACTTGCTGGCTATCTGGCTGTCCGAAACATACGTTTAAATAGTTCTGGAATGTCCTCACAGCTCTTGTAACTATAGTGAGACAAGATTACTTTCAGTGCCCACAAAACTTCTGCAGCAAGTGTCTCATTTGAAGCCACATAATTTCTTATATCACGGCACCGGAAGAACATGGCTGTTCAGAGCGTCCTACTTCATGTGAACCACGCTGGCTTCCAACAGCAGGTAAAAAGTTTCTGAGGCTGGCATTGCTACTCTCGTCTAAAATCAAATTAAAAAATGTTTGTTTATGAATATCGTCAAAAATGAGCCCTAATTAAATGAATTTACTGTCACAGAAATCCTGGAATCTCAAAATTTCACAATAGCCTCATCGAAATTGCAATCCACTTATAAAAATAAACCATATTTTACAGGGCCACAACAGAACTGAAGGAGGGGGGGCTGAAGCCATAATTAATCCCAATGCTGAGCCACAAATGTCAAGGAAAAATAAAAACTCACTTTTAGTGTATTAGTGTTGTATCGCATAGTATTAACTATTGTATAAATTTTGTATTAATAAATAAAGATGCGCTAAATAAAAAAATATGAAATGGCCGTTTTGCTAGTCCCTCATAATACATTAACTTTATATCTGAAATTTAATATACCTCCGAGTTTAGTCCCACCGGCCCCCAACCACCCCCTGCAGCCTCTCAAAAACTCAAAAGAACACTCTTGCCTAAACATCGGTACAATCCATGCATTATCTTTGTCATCCCGAAATTAAAAAGACATTTATTTATAATCTGTCGCTTTAGATGACAAATTCTTTTGTTCTGTTTGATTATTTTGCCGATTCTTATTACACCACAGCACTTAAATCTATGTTATACCCAATACAGGCTGCATCCTAAATGAATCACGAGTTGGTACAAATATCGAGACAAATATCTAACGCAAACATGCATTTTCTTGTCTTGATGCAAACTTTAAATTCTAGTAAATTCAAATTTGAACACACAAACGTACCTTTAACAGCATCGACGTGCTTCTTCGATTTCATGTGGCTTTTCACTGCTGCTTCTCCCATATTTTGAACAGCGAATGTCTTTTTGCATGCTTTACATTTTGCCTCTGACGAAGAACTCCCGCGTTCTATCCACTTATTATACTGCGGGTTACTCAGCCAAGCATCTTGGAATTTGCATTTTCCAGGCATTATATATTAAATCTGCTTGAATGATCGCTCAAGCTCATCTTTACCTCGTGGCAGGCCTGGTCGCATGGCGATGCTGGGACTCGGCCCCAGGTCTCAGCAAAAACGTATCACACGGTATCGGGGGGAAAAATGCGCGTTTGTCGTTGCAAACACGTAAACAAGGAATAGTTTATTAAACAAAAACTTGTGAAAGCAAGGAATTTTCTTTATTTTCATCTCGGTTTTTGCAAAATGTCAAATTATAACAATTTTCCATGACTTTCCATGACTCTGATCGAAATTCCATGACTTTCCAGGCCTGGAATTTTTTTTTCGAAATTCCATGACTTTCCAGGTTTTCCATGACCCGTACGAACCCTGCAACAATTGCACACACTAAATTGCAGCTCGAAACAATCAAAGCAGAAAGCACTGCCGTAAATGCCCTTTAAAAGGACATTGATGGTATTGGATTCATTTCTACAGAAGTGAAAATGTCCAGAAAGGATACATATGAACTTGTCAGCATTCAACAAAAGTACATTGACAGCCTGATTAAGAACAATAAGTGTTTTGAATCTTCGGAAATAAATGGTGTCTTGATCACCTTTGGTATATTTGACCCAGTTTAAGTGCCTGGAACTGATGATGCTTGTTTCAAAGCACATGGAAAAGACAGGCCTCCCACTTTTTCCCTGCAGATGAGGGAGAAAATGACAAGTTGCAATCCCAGTGGAACCAAATGAAGTACCATGTTAATGAAAATGTCAAGAAAGCAGTCCCTCAGGAAGTAAGGAATGGTACAAATGACAGCTCCACAGCATCGTTCTTGTCCCAATTGATGAAGATTAAAGTAAATTATCAACCATCTTTTACCATGGTGCTTCAAATTGCTGAGAATGCCTTGGACACTGCCTGGCCTGAGAGGGGTGCAAGTGCAATGAAACTTGTGAAGACCAGATGTGGGAACTCATTGTAGAATGAAATGATGGAAGCTCTGCTCATAATGTTGATCAATGGCCCTTCTGTGCAAGACTGCAGTCCAGTGATGAAGCTGGCAGTAAAGTATTGCAGTCCTTGAGCCTGCTGAGCCCATCCTAGAGGTATCATCTTTTGCTGCTCATCATCATCAGCAGCAGACAGTTCAGGAGGAAGTAGCGGAAATAGGCACTCTCTTTGATCTACTTCCTTGCAGTCCTGACTCAGAGTCAGACAGTGACTATGTAAGTGACTGTGAGTTTTAATCATTTCTACCCTTTAACTTCAGTTGTTAATTCTATAGCTTTTCTGGAACTTCTGATCACAAAACTATAAACAAAACTGACAGACAGCAGGGGACATACAGTGCTATTACATTATGTATTGAGTAATGACTGCAAATTGTAAGGATGTTGATATTGAAACAAAAATTTAGGTTTGTTATCTGTAATGCAGTACAAACCGAGTTAGTTCAGCTTGTTTTGACTGCCCAGTCAATTACATGTTTTTCAATAATGCATCTGGCGGAATATAACTTCAATTTGAAAATTGAAGGTCTTGTGTGACTCTTCATTACTGTTATGTTAACGCTATCTAATAGTGGCTCAGTTTACCCTAAATACACCAGATGCAACCATTTGAGGCCAATATTTTCAAAGGGCCTCTGCTGCCTATTACTATAGCCAGCTTGCCTACCACTCAAAAGCATTTTGACTTGACTGTATTGTTAATGAGACAGCAAAAACTCAACTACAGTCTAGTAGTTTTTGTACCATGCCTTAATTCCCTGGCACAAACAAAGAAAAAAGAATCAGATAATCTCCAACCGCCAAAAGCATCAAACCCAAAGGACAGAAAAATCTGTCAGTTATGTTTTATTTTACAGTTTTTACAATTGAAATGTCATGAAGGACATTGCCCTCAGTATTTTTTTAACTATTTTACTTTTAATAATAGGGTTCACTACCTGAAAGATTATTTTTCAGATTCTCTAGAGGGTAATGTCCATCAATTGACTAGGGTCAGCCATTCAAAGAAAACCCAAGAGTCAGCTTCTTTGATTGGCACATTCAATGAAGTGACAATGAAACAGTATGTGCTATTTGCTACTAGAAAACAAGTGAACTTAATTCAAGCCTTTAAAAACAAGTCACCATTAAATATTCAGGGAGTCAAGCCCACAGCATCCAAACCATTCCACATAACAACAGAAGAATATGCTATCTCGAACAAGCAAAAATTACACCTTCTTCACTGGAATTTGAATTCAGTGAACAATTTGCTACTAAACTATGCACTGTTGATGAAACCCTTGCCAAAGATATTTATGAGACCGTGGATTTAAAGGTCAGGGTAC